CACCAACAACATTGTATGCACAGAATTAATTATTTTAAAATTATCAAAATTATCAGAAATTTACTTGTTACCATTGCGTGCTAATTAAAAAGCTATAATTAGGTATTTATTTTAGATTTAATTATTATATTACACTTATTTGTTTCCGTCACAGTGACCCGGGGTGAAGTAAGCGAAGTAAGTCGCGTACAACTCCAAAAAAATTAGAATTTACTATGGGTTTTTTCCTAATTGTATTATTCTGTAAAATGACAATACTACAACAAAATTGTACCGAAGAAAATAAAATTAAACGATTAACGACCAATTGACGACCTCTACTCGATTCTAAGAAAATCAAGATTGTAACGACAGCGCAGTGGCGTCCGCAGGATTTTTCAATGGGGGGGGCTTGAAAATTAGTTACAATTTTCTTTTCAATTTGTCCAGTCTAATAATTTCAGACGTTTATTTGAGGTATTTTAAAATGTTCAATATTTATCCATCTGCATTATATTATACAGATTGTAACAGATAGAACTGACTTTTGGAATAACCTTTGTTTTAATCAATATTTAAAATTGTTTATATATATAATTTATAGTTGCGCTGCGTTACACATATTATATTAAAGAAAAATTATTTTTATTTTTTAACACTGAAAATAAAAAAATTTAATTTGATTTAAATTTTTTTGGATATACTCAAAATAGCCAATTTGTGGTTATAAGAACAATATTGATAGTAAAAACATTTATCTAAGTCAAGTAGTTTATTTTTTAGAATTTTTTAAAATATCAATATTTTTAACAATTTTTGTCATACATTTAAGTAGGTATTACATTTTTATTTTTCGTCAGGTCTTTGAGTTACACCTTGTATAAACGTGTTGTACTCGTCTTATACTTTTATAGCCTATAGGTGAAGTAGTCTTTTAGATTCTGATCGTAGAGATTAATAAGTATTAAGATTTTACAACTATGTGTGTTTTTGTGTATGCGTATCGTTTTATGGTAAAAAAATGTTGTGTTCATCAACATTGGGGATGATTCCTGGTCGCAAATTGGATCTATAGTTGGTAGGTATGGTAGACACAGATACTGATATGTCCTAGTACTATTTTAAATCGGGTTCCCAACGAAAATATGTTATATTCAGTTATAGTTATCATTTATCGGTGTTATTGAATTTTTAAATTTTTTAAACTAATTATCAAAATATGTGGTCTCTTTTGAATCGTATTGAGGCATTGAGCTACTTATAGGCATAGGAAATAGTTGACTATTTTAGGTTTTCCTTAATTTATGTCGATAAAAAATATTTTGCTCCGTCAAATAACTTAAAAATGTAAATAGGTACCTACATTATGTTCCTACCCAGTATATTATTGTTAGTGAAAATTAAGAAAAAAGTTGAGCTTAAATCCAAGATAGTATTTTTATGAGCGTCTGGAGTTAGAATTTTGTCAACTTTCATAAAAATCACGAAAATTTGAAAACTATTTTGAGCTAAAAATTCATAAAAATGTATATTTTTATTCGAAAATTGAATATATATGATTCATTTTTAAATCTTAAATTTGATAAATGTTGTAAAATATCGAATTTTAAATGCTTATAAAAAAAAATTGTTAAAACGTAGGTATTATTAATATTTTTCAACAGCTATCTAAGCAATATATCAGGAGCCTTGTATTAAGCTTTTGACCCAACAAATAAAATGTAATTGATATTTATAGAAATAAAAACCTAAAATTTTGAAATTTGTAATTGTCCGTTAACTGCCCAAAACAAGTAAAAATATTTTGAAAATTTTTATCAAGTATTGGAATTGATAAAATAAACATATTATGATATAAATCTCGAGTGTCTACAGTTATTCTTTTTTAAATAACAACAAAATAAGAAAATCGCTACATGAGAAATCGAGTGAATATCCAATGTTGTAGAAATTTGAATTACAAAAGCTCATAAAAATTTAATTTGACTTTCTTTTAGATATTTTTATTTTGATAAAGCTAGACAGCCTTAGTAAAAATCTTGTAATACATTTTAAAATCTTAGATTTAATGCTTGTTTTGGCAACCGGCCGACGCGGTCCTCCGGTGCGTCGGTTCGTATTTCCTCCTTTGACATGCCCACCTGCAGGCACTTTTGATATTATATTCTGCAGAACATGCGTTTACTCCGGTGGAACTTGTCCACCAGACAGTTTTTGTCTGCCTTGCATAAGTACTTACAGGATCCCTGGTGCACCGTCCGTTTGAAAAAGTCTACACGACAGCCAAATGCAATGGAATAAATCGTTATGAAACAATAATATTTATTATTATTATACGGTATTTACCCTTATAAGAGTACCTATGTCGTACCCATATAGTTAATAGAAGAATGGCCATTAATATTAATGCGTACAACGCAAGAGGTCTTATTAATGGGGAAGAGAGAAAAGCGATCTCTCGCTACCGCTGCAAGTAGACTTTTTATGTTATGCTTGTGTATAAATGTAGGTAGGTATTGTAAGTTACAACAGGGACTGGAACTTTTTGAATTTATCGGTATCGGTTCCGGTACTGGTTCTCCAAAAAAGAAAATAATTGTTCTGGTACGGTTTTGGTTTTTTGATAAAAAAAAAAAAAAAAAAAGGTTCCATATAATTTAGGTAGGTACTAGGCAAATTTTCGTTCACTAGTTTCAATTGTGTGATTGTTATTGGTTTTGATATTAGAGTGATTTTACCTACCATTTAACTTTAAGGTACGAACAGTGTCCGTGTCCTCTCGATCGGTTTTTTACGATATTTGAATTTTAAAATGAATTATAAGCAATTTAAAATTATTAATATTTACATACTCATAACTAGTGCTAGGATTTTTATGCAATAAAAAATGGTAAAATATATGCATTTAAATTTTTATAAGATAAACACAAAAATATAGTTACAAAAAAATAAATATTTATTTGTTGAAATATATCAGTGATTGGCTGTTTGTCTTAATATAATAAATAATTGAGAAAAAAAAAATAATAATTTAGAAATACAGTTTATAATCAGATTCACTACGTGTGTTACATGCTACGACCACATATTTTTTATATTTTCGAAAATAAATGTCAAACTATTCAATCTCTTATACCTATTGTACCATAGTTTTGTATTTATAAAAAAAAATTTATTTTTGACAAAAAACCAAGTTTTATGAAATATAATATAAAACATGCAACAATATGCATTTCATCTAAAATATGCAAAAACATGCAAAATAAAAATACTACCATTTATCTCATCATGAGGTGATTCTAGGACATTACTGACTAAATCAATAATCTGAAGTCGCAAAAAAAAAACATGCTGTTGCATATAAATCCTAGCCCTGCTCATAACTCACTGAAAATTTAAAATATCATAAAAAATCAATGGAGAGAAAACGGATAATGTTCTTAATTAAAAGTTTAATAATTGGCTATGTCGTACATGTGTAAGACTGATCAACATAATATTATGTGGGTACGATTGTACGACTCGAGTCTTTAGAGAACGTTATACCCGCATGATGGGTTGTCCCCAACTTAGCAAATCTTAAGTTTAGAATTTAATAAATTTAATTGTTTTACATTTAATATTATCATAAAGTTAACTTATCTACTGTCAAATTTAAATTTAAGGCTATTATCTATGCCACCATTGGGGAATAACATTTAGTTAATTCAGTAAATTCATCTTCATCTTTTTCAGTAAGCTCGTGTTTTGAAAATATGCATTCAAATCCTATAGAATGATTACAACAAAAATTTAATCAATTAAAACGTTACAAAATTTTCAAGTGAAAGTGCAAAGAAATTCAAATTTAATTATGATAAATAATTAAATAGCTACCATTAAAAATAGATGCATGAGATAAAAAGTGGGTATAATATTGTTTGATAATATTGATGGATGATTTTATAATATTATGGAGATTCGGGTGATTTTTGTAGTACATAAATGTGTTTGACGATTAAAAAAACGTCAAGGGGAGGATACGTCACCCAAATCCCCTCCCCCTTAATTACGCCACTATTAAGCACCATAAAGATGTGATATCATGAATAAATACTAAGTATATTGAATTTAAGTAAACCTATTTTGTTTCAATAATTTATTTACTTGGCGAGGAATTATTTAGAATAGTTTATAAATATAAATATTAATGTTTTTAAGATAATAATAAATTATATTTGAATAGCCCTTCACCATTTTATTATTTTGTTCATCACACTTTGTTTCTTTTAAGAAATAATTAATCGCCAATTAAATAAATTATTGAAACAAAATAAGTTTACTTAAATACAATATACTTAGGATTTCTTCATGATATCACATCTCTATAGTGCTTAAAGATTTTATATTTTTTTTACTTAGCCATTTTTACAAGTAGTAGGTTTTTGTTGTGATAGTATTATGTAAGTTTGTTAGGCACATATTACACATATTACATGTAAAATAATTGAAAAAAAACTGTTAAAATCAGAAAACGTGTGTGTTTATAGTGTGTAGTCAAATAGTTTTAAGAAGTAAAATATTATGGACTTATTCAAAAAGTAAAGATCATTATATGTATAAAATAGGTACAGAATAGGTTAAAAATCCAAACAAACCAAAAGCCCGAAATATTGGTTAAAATATTATTACAATAATATAACAATAAGTGTGAATAACAATAGGTACGATTGTCATCTCAGGAAAAATAAAAGCACCCGAAATCCTTCATAATGCTGGCCGATATAAGAACGATGGACGTAGTCGCTGGCTAGTAATAACTAATAAACATATGGGAGGATTTCGATTTGTTAGGTCTCGATGACGGAAGTAATCGAAATCTCGTTCACTTTCAATTCAGTGTTCCACTTCTCTCGTCGTATGTGCACAAAATTAAAAATGGCTACAACCAACCCACAAATTTGTTTCAACAACGAAGAGCTAATAAACGATTTGATACAAAATGTATTGGGCGACTTCAATACTTCATCGACGAAAGTGTAATGGAGACAATAGACGACATCATCGACGCGATTGAGACACCCGATGATAACGATCTCCAGGATACCGAAATCGAAGAAGAAGTCGAAGAAGTGGTTAGATCAATGATGTTGGTTATTTGTGGTGATGCGTCGTCCGGCGGAGACGCCCCATCGACAGAGTTGCAGCCTGTCGAATCCACTGCAACATCTGAAGGCGGACCTCTGGACGCGGTGCAGGACGTTAATGAAGAGCGAACTCCGGCTAAGGGAGCCGAAGTGTTCAACAGATTCGGTGAACTAGTAGGTTGGCTAGATCCGGGAGCAACACCCGTGCAAAGCGCTCCACGACGGCTGAACCCGTTTTCGGTGACGTGGAAATGCGTCAAACGGGTTGTACGTGGAATCTGTTGCTGCCGATGTGAAGGCGTCGACTAATCAAGAAGTTGATACGGCCCTTGGCCGAAGACATCGGACAGGAGACGGCGACGTAGAGGATCGGGGGATACGGGAAAGAGCACGGATGGTGCCCGGCGGTAAGTCACCCATAAACGTTCTCCGGCCACCCACGGCAAGACGGGTTCATGGGCGTAGCGAGCTCGGTCGCCAATGACGCGCGAGACCCTCTGGCGGCTCGGCGGGCGCCCGACTTCGGTTCGGTCGTGTGGAGCGACGGATGACGACGACGACGTGACGGCTAGCAGTACGGACGTGGGCAACGATTTCGCTCCGGCCGTACCAACGACAATGGTGCGACTCGCGTTATGCGACGGAAGCGGTGGAGACTTTGGCAAGGGGCAAGTGGTAGAGGTATGTGCAGGAACAAGGACGTCAGTGGCACCAGACCCGTGGAAATTTAACTGTTTCAGGGTCTGGTGGCACGCGACTCTAGTGCGGCTGTCATTAGACTATGACGTGGCTGAATAAGGTTGTCCCAGGGTGAAAATTACCGAGAGTTGAGGACCGCAGTGCGTCGCGCTACGGTCCGCTGACTCTCGCCTTTTCACCTAGCGGTGATCCCACATCGGGGTCGCTTGTCCACGGTCACCGCCGATTCCGGTCGTGAGAACGTTTTAGAGGTGACCAGTGGCCTTTAACTTGCATATCAGCATCAATTCGCCATCTCGTATCCCCCCTCCTAGTTTATTGTGTCTCCTGTCCGGTGTATTTTTTTTTTATTTCTATATTGTATTTTTTTCATAATTTTTTATATTGTTCTAAATTGTTTTACGCCCCCCCCCCCTTTCGGCCTCAAAAATCTCATTAATATTAAATTGTTATTCCTAATAGACACTTTGTGCTAATTTTGTCTAGTAACTAAGCTTTTTGTGTTCTAAATTCTTTGTTTCCCCTTTTTGTTATTAAAAACCATGTATCTAAATTATTTTACCCTCCCTCCTTTTCAGCTTTAAAATCCTTGTTCAGATAAAATTTCAATAACAGCCACTTTGTGCTCATTTGTTCTATTAACTTATCTCGTTGTTTTCTAAATTCATTGTTCCCCCTTTTCGGAATTAAAAACCATGTATCTACTTGTAAAATATTAATAAAAACAACTCTGCACTACAAAATTTGTTATTTTTTGCCTAAATTATATGTTCACCTTTTTGTATTAATTGTACCATGAGCTTAACAATTATGTATTTATAATATATTAATGAATTATTAATAATACGGTAGCCGGTAAGTTGAATTAGTATTATGAAATTACAAAAAAATAACTAAAAACCGTTATTCTTGGTTATATAATATGTAATTTCGTCCAAATTTTAACTTAAAATAAGTCTATAAAAAAACGGTTTTTATGAATATTTTTAGATTTTTTTCGTTTCAAAATTAACTAGCTGAAGGCTAGGAAAAAACTCACTATAGATTAAAATAAAAATCATTATAAAATCAATAAATTCATCGCTTCACTCAAAATCTGAAATGTTGAATAGTAATATGTGAAGAAAAAATATTGATTATACATATTTTGTGATAATAGGAATTTGAGAGGGAATTTATTAGAAATGGATTAATAGTTATCTATAGCAATAAACATATAGTCGTGCACAGTGCTGTACTCAGGATTTTTCAATGATGGAGGGAGGGGGCTTGAAAATTAGTTACAATTTTATTTATATTTTGTCCAGTATAATGATTACAGACGTGTATTTGAGGTATTATAAAATGTATGTAATCTCTCAACTTTTCTGGTAGAAAAATTCTCTAATCATAAACTTCGATGCGTTTTTGGAAGCAAATTGGATTTAGTTTTTACTTTTAGGAGGTCAAAATTGAAAATGCTCAGTGCATTTTAAAATAATTGGAGAAAAAAAATTATTAATATTGTTTGGTAACCATCTTGGTTATACCGTCCTCACTTGGATTGTATTTTATTAATTAAATTTTTTTTTTAAATATGTCAATAAAAAAGGTGGGCAAGTTGGTGTCGCTCTGCTGTACAGTAGGTTACAAGTGGGCCACTGTATAATGGATGATATTAAATTTGAATTCAACGATATAATAATATCATTGTATAAGAAAAACGATTCTGAGCGGGGTATGTCAGTCTAGGTATAATATTTATTATATACAAATCTATGGTACTAAACCAAAATTTGACCTATAATAGGTACCTATAATAAATTCCAAATTAATCATATCACAAAATCCATTAGGTACTTATAACGCGTTATACATCAACAAAAACCGTGATACTATCATAGATATATAATAGTACACTTTAGAAGTTTCAAGAACCCACGAATAATATTATTCAATCATAACAAAATAACTAAAATAGTTATTCTAGGTTTTTTAATATGTATTTTCGTCCAAATTTGAATTTAACATGTCTGTAAAAAATAACTGTGTCCATATATTTTTTAGATTTTTTGGTTACAGTATGAACTATTTATGAGAACCTTTGTTTTAAACTTGCGATCCTTAGCTATGAAAACTGAACATTTTATAATTTATTAATTACGATGATTGATAATTTTCGAGATTTTGATAAATTTTTTCAAAATTCGATCTTTATAAGCTTATAAAAAAAACTGTCCCTATGTATTTCTAATATTTTTCAACTGATATTGTAACAATATATCAGGAGCCTTGTATTAAATTTTTACACTTTTTGGCCCAACTGATAAAACTTTATTGATATTTATAGAAAAAAAAACTAAAAAAAATTGAAAGCTGTAAATGTCCGTAAACAGCTCAAAAAGCGTCAAAATATTTTCAAAATTGTATGGTCTATAGTAAATACTAATATAAACATTGAATACAATTTTCATGTATCTACAGTTATTCGTTTTTGAATTACAACAAAATAAGGAAATCGCTACATGACAAGTAGAGTGAATATCCAATGTTGTAAAAATTTGAATTTCAAACGCTCATAAAAATTTAATTTCACTTTCTTATAGCCATTTTTATTTTGATAAATTTGGTTAATCTTATAAGGAATCTTGTATTACATTTTCACATCTTAGATTTAAAAAGAAAAATTTTTACGAATTCTTTTTTTTTTTTTTTTTATTTTTAAGAGAAATTTACAATCTTAAAAAGATTTTTTTATTGTTAAAGGTAGACAAACTTATGAGTAATCTTGTATTACATTTTCAAATCTTAGATTTAAAAAGGAAAATTTTTGCGAATTTTTAACTCAAAATAATTTGCTAATTTTCGTGATTTTTCCATATTTTGTCAATTTTTGAACTTTAAATGATAACAAAAAAAAAAACTGTGGCTAAGGATTTTAATATTTTTCGTCTGCCTTTGAAACAATATACTAGGAGCCTTCTATTAAATTTTCAACTATTTTTACCTACAAATAAAATTTTATTGATATTTTTAGAAAAAAAAATTTAAAAAAAATGGAAACTGAAAATGTCCGTAAAGAGCTTAAAATAAGTCAAAATATTTGGAAAATGTTATTGTGTATGGACATTGGACAATGCTAATATAAACATTCAGTCAAAATGTCATGTACCTACTATTATTTGTTTAAGAGTTGCACCTAAAACCAAAACAGATTTTGGCTAAAAATTCCTGTTATTTTTAAGTTGTTTTTCCCGGCGCTTGTGAATATTATTGAGAATTTTCACTTTCCCATCGAACAAGATACTGTAGTTGAAAATCGACGCATTATTTCGACTACCAATGTTGAACACAGACACAAAAAAAAAAAAAAAAACACACATCATTGTAAAATCAATACATTCATCGTTCCACTCAGAATATAAAACAGCTTGATTTTCTCGGCCGTAATTTTACGGAAAATAATTAACCGGAATGATAAAAAATACGGAAAGTAAAATTACGGACCGTAATACTGCGGAACGTAAAATAACGGAATTTAGTTGTTCAAACCATAATTTTGTGGAACGTAAATTTACGGAACCAGAAAAATACGGAATGTAATATCACGGATAGTATAATTACGGAACCAGAAAAATGAGGAATGTAATATCACGGATAGTAATACCCTGGACTGTATTATCCAGGAACGTAAAATCACGGACCGTAATTTAGCGGAAAGTAAAATGACGGAATTTATAATACCATAAACCAATGATTCTCAACATAGGTACATCTAATTACAAAATGATCGAATCAACTTATTTTTTTTTTTAAATCTTTTATAAATTATTTATTATTGGCAACATTTACGACAGTTGCGAACATATAATTTTATCTTAAATGGAAGGCACAAAGAGTCCCTCCTAACATGACTTTTTGATAAAATGAAAATACATTTTTGAGGTTAATTAACTACCTACCTAGCTATTTAGTTTAAAATATAGGTACCACATAATTAAATATAATGATTTTGAAGTTTTTGAACCATTTTATAATATAAATATAAACAAATCAACCATTTTTTAGTCTCGAAATGTTTTGATTTTTAGGTAATAAATTCATAAGTTTAATTTGGAAGATGTCAGGGAAAGCCGGACTGAAAAAAAAATACTTTAAAAATCAAATAATATCTATTATCAATTCAAAATTAATAATAATAAGTAAGGTACCTATACATACTACCTAAATGCAGAAAATATTCAATGTCAATACAAACATCACCACCATTCTAGACATAACTTCATATGACTTAAGACATTTTGAAATTCGTACTTGTTTAATGTTTTATAATAAAGTGTAGGTATTTATATTTTGTTGTCATGGATCTATTTAACTAATAACTAAATAACAGACCCTATTCACTATTCAGTATCTAATTAGTGTTCAGTAGGTATTTCAGTTAAAATGTTAAGTAGGTACCTATCTATATTACATAGTATGTATTCTTTTACATTTTTAAAAACTTTATAAATTATAAATCAACCGGTTTGAATTATGTTAATAAAAACTTGAAACAAGTCTTAAACACTTTTATTTTTAATAATAAAAGAAAAACGGAATTTGAGTAAAAATAGTTATTTTAATATTTA